GCTCTCTTCCCAGCTCTGCTACCTTATTATCATGTGACCTCAGTCCAGCTATCGTACCTCATTGCACTTTAGTTTCCTCATCCCAAAATGACATACTAATACTTGCCATACCTACCCCAAAGGGATGTTGTGAAAATGATTTGAATAACTGAAAATGCTATAGTGGGTTCTTACAATACAAAAGAATGATTTTGAATTTAAGATCTAAGGCTTAAGGCACTTTGAGATGAGTATGAAATTTGACTCAACTGCTGAAGTAGGGATTGTTATCGCCACAATAGTTTTCTTTTAAAATTTTAACTACAATGCAGTATTACATGAAGTTCAGTATTATTTCACATGTATAAGATTATTAAAATCTGGCTTTAAGGTGATTATGTTTGTTCTCAAATGTGACTTATTTATTTTAAAATTTCTTTACTATAACTTAAATAAGATAGGAACTGATATTTTTTCTCAGAACTCTGACCATATTTATAATGGAAATCAGTGGGAAAATTGGCTTTATTTAAGAAGTTTCTGTCCCACAATAATATTTTGGAATACATATTCTATTTTATGAATCATGCCAATATCTAACTTTTATACAATCTATATTCCAATTATAGAAGTTAAAAAAATTTAACTGTGTAAGCATAATCAACCTAACAATTTTCTTTAACTGAATCTCAGATGCTGAGACCACATATTTTAAATATATAAAATTAGTATATTTAATCAGTGATTGTAATATGAAGGTATGAACCCTCAGCCACCATAAAAATGAGATTCTATGTGTTATTTTTCTTTCATTCCTATTTTTCACAATTCACAGGAAAACAACACTGATTTTTATTTTATCAAGGTTGTAAACAAATCCAAAATAAAGAATATTATCTATCCTCACTCAGCACAGACTAAGTCATACATCTCATTAAACATTTAAAAAATACATTTTTCTTTTTTGTTGTAATTGAAATCCCAGTACTATATCTTTGATTAATACAAATAGAAAACCATTAGTTATAACTTAACTTACTCAATTTGATACCCAAATATTAAAAAATATGATATCTCTAAGTGGACAGAAAATAATAAAAGGAATACTTGGTGGCAATAAATGCAGAACAAAGCAGTTAAGTCAAATTTACTTGTGACTTACTATTAGTTATGTTATAGGAGTTCTGACAATTAAGTTCATAAACTAGTTCTAGAAAAAGTGCTGCATACCTCATTGCTGAATATCACTATGGTCACCTTCGAAGTACTCTCCTTGGGCAGTTATGCACCATTGCCAGCACCTAGTCCACCCTTCAAAGCAATTTTGGAACTCTTTTTCTGGAATGGCCATCAGAGCTCTCATCGTATTACCCTTGATGTCCTGAAAGTCATCAAAATGTCTTCCTTTCAATATTTCCTTTATCTTCAGGTAAAGAAAGAAGTCATTGGGGGCCAGATCAAGTAAGTAGAGAGGGTTTTCCAATACAGTTATTTGTTTACTAGCTAAAACTCCCTCACAGACAGTGCTGTGTGAGCTGGTGCTTTGTTGTGATGCAAGAGCCATGAATTGTTGGCAAAAAGTTCAGGTCGTCTAAGTTTTTCACACAGCCTTTTCAGCAATTCTAAATAGTAAGCTTGGTTAACTGTTTGCCCAGTTGGTAGAAATTCATAATGAATAATCCCTCTGATATAAAAAAAGATTAGCAACATTGTTGCAACCCAGTTCAGGAACTTTGTCAGACCTTGTCCTATTAAGACAAGTTACACCTTATTATTATAAATTTAAGGTCTTTTGGTATCATAAAATTAAACTTAGGTTTCTTCAAGGTCACTGTTGTGGACCTTACCTGGCTCCTGAGAAAGGATCAGTTGATAACCTGGGCTTGAGAATGTTTGGTTAGCATTTCTTGGGCTCTGAGTACTCCTCCTCCATCTCTTTGCTTTACAAATGAGCTGAGATTCTAAAACATCTCTCAGGCTATTAGAGAGACTTCAGGGGTGACTCATTAGGAAATTTGGTTTTTAAGCAGAAAGAGACCTGCGTCACTTCTCACTGTTGGCAGAGAGTGATCTAAAGAAGATTAAAAAACTTTTAAAATAAGTAGTCAAATAATGCTTATTAGGTACTAGGCTCTTCCAAGCTCTTTAGAGGCATTAACTCATTTAATTTAATACCACAACAACCCTAATTGGTACTATGATATCTTCTTTAGTTGATGAGGAAATGGAGGCACAGGGAGCTTAAGTAACCTTTGAGGTCGCTTGACCTGAGTGATTACTAAACCCCAGGCTACGTGGCTCCAGAGGCTTGGCTGCCTCTCTAGGTGGCTGGTGATCAACAAGGCTAACCTGTGTACCATCTAAGCTGGTTTTCTGGTCCAGGATTTATGCAGGGGAGAAACAATCACTCTCAACAAGTACTGTGGTGAACTTGGGAGAGATACCAAGGGCAGTCACCTATGCTAGTCAGGCACATCTACAGACTTCAGATTTTTTTTTAAAGATTTTATTGGGGGATTGGGGAAGGGAAACAGACAAGTTGCTGTCCTTTTGTTCTTCAGTCTAGCTGTGGAGGACGTTGCTACACTGACCCAAGTTGGTATTATTGTGCTCTTCCCGGGTGAGGCAGATCAGTCGCTGGTCACTGGACGGCAGCCCAGCTCCAGGTCGAGCTGTTGTTCACCATCTTAGCTGTAGAGGGTGCAGCGTCACTTGCCCTCAAATGTGGGATCTGAACCGGGGCCCTGCTGCTCAGAGCTGGCGTCCCAAGCCAATTCCTAACCAACGCGCCACTCGGCCGGCCCCAGATTTTTAAAAATAAGATTGATCATCAATTTCTAGGATGCTAGTACTTCCCTGTTAATTTTATTGTAAACTTTTATTTTAAAAAGCCAACCTTGTCTAAGAATTTTCCATCATCAGGCCAGCACCATGATATTACCTTTGTAAATAACTAGTTGAACTAGTGCAAATAAAGTGATGAAAAGTCAGCACTGTCAGAGAGGGAAATACTAAAATTTTGCTTTTTCACATTCATGGATTTCTTTTGCTTGCCTAGGTTGTTTTTGTTTTTACAAGTGAGTTTTATTTTTTATTTAATATGTTGCTCCACTTTGTATTTCAGATTCCACTTAAGCATTTAAAAATTTACAAAAGTGTCGTATCCTTTCACATGAAATATCAAATTAGCTAGAGAAGTTGACTAACTTGTAAGAACCCCAAAAAGCAAAATATTAAAAAGTGAATTTGAACTTGGTGATTACATCCAGTCAATTGTCTAATGGGGTGTAAGGAGACCTCTTATGAGCCGGATATCATGCTTAGCATTTTACACAATTATCCTGTTTAATTCCACAGCCTTGCAAAGTGGTATCACACCCACCATTTAAGGGCCTAGAAAAGAGGCTTGCAGAGGGTAGTAGCTTGCCATGAGTTTCACAGTTAATATAAGGCCTTAGTGGAATTATAAAGTCAGGTATTTCAGGCTCCACATAGCACAGCACTTTATCAGCGTCAAGCTAAGTCACAGGTATCTTGCTAAAAAGGTACCAAAATTGCTGGCAATCAAGTGATGACTCAATACCACTGCAGCTGGAAACACTGAGCAAATAAATAATGGCAGTTGGGGCATTCAGCCACTTCCCACATGGTTAATTTAATAAGAAACACCTGCACACACAAGTTGGAAAAATGTGATATAGCTAAAGTTAGGCTTAATTTAGCTAGCAGGAAGAAACAGCTTTTGAACAAAGGGTAGGCCAGGGCCTAGGAGGTGAATTAAAATAATTTGCCTATTGAAGCTAGTTGGTGCTGCAGCACTCAAGGGCCTATAGGCTGAACAGGAGTATTTCCGCCCGCTGGAATGACTAAACAGCAGCTGCAGAAGGACTACCCAGTGCTCACCTTCAGATGGGAAGGCAAGTCCTATTATAGGGCATACACATAGATAGATCCGTATCACATCCTAACAGTACGTTTCCACAGGAAGTGCAGGACGGGAGGTTTCATTAATCCAGGGCCGAAATACTCCTCGTTCCTATAGGGTGTATTTTGGGAGGAAATTACACCCATTGAAGTTAACCACCTCGAGATACCCTTTCCCCCCAGGTACATCATCCTTCATTATTGATCCCCAGGGAGGAACGTATCCAAGGTTCCAGACTTGTCCTTCAGTCCCACGCTGCGCGTCCAGCGCCGGGGTCCCCGGGCGGGCGGAGGCGGCGGTGACGCAGGAGGTGGCGGCGGTCCAGGTTCAGGCGCGAGGGGGAGGGGGCAGGTTCTCGGAGCGGTGTGGACCAATCCGGAGGCGCGGTGTTTCGGGAGCCGGGAGGGTGGGGGGCGGGCGGAGGCCCCCAGGTTTCCTCGGGTGCCGGCGCAGCGCCGCCTGGTTCCCACCGAGCGCGCGCGGAGCCGGGGGAGGTCCCCGGGCGCGCCCGCCTGTCCCCCTTTCCCTCCGCGGCCGCCCCGCCCCCTCAGGTCCGCCCCCTCCGCTAGCGAGACGCGGCTCCGACGGCGCCCAGCCTCCTCCTCTCCGGGCACCTGGTCTCTGCCTGCAGCGCTAGACGCCGGGCCGCTCTCCCGGTGTCCGCGGGCCGTGCGGGGGCGGCGCCGGCGGAGGCGCCTCGATCGGGTCGGTGGCGGTAATGCTGCTCCGGCTGCCGCCCTTGCGGCCCGGCGGGCAGCTGACAGCGGCAGGAGCCGGAGCCGGTGCCGGAGCGCCCTCGTCGCCGGCCGGGACGTCGCCTTCGCCTGCGCTCGGTTTCCGCGGCC